CCCATCAAAGGGCTCTTCCTGTAAGTGTTCTATTAGAAATTTTAGATCACATGTCTAAAGAAATGTGTGTGTGTGTGTCTGTCTGTCTGTCTGTGTGTCTGTCCATCTATATGCTTCCTCCTCCCTTTCTCTATCCTCAAGGGCAGCAAAACAAAGTCCAGGACAAAGATGTAGCAATCTACCTTACTTATCAAATGCTAAATCTAAGTGATAAATGATAAATCTATTTATCTAAAAAGAATAACAATGCAAAAGAATGAGAACCAAAGGAAACCCAGCCAGGACCATACCCCAGTATTAAACAGTTTTAAATAACAACAGATTAAAGTCCATCTCTCGGGCACCTGGGTGGCTCAGTTGGTTAAGCGACTGCCTTCGGCTCAGGTCATGATCTTGGAGTCCCGGGATCGAGTCCCGCATCGGGCTCCCTGCTCGGCAGAGAGTCTGCTTCTCCCTCTGACCCTCCCCCTCTCCTGCTCTTTGTCTCTCATTCTCTCTCTCTCAAATAAATAAATAAAATCTTTAAAAAAAAATAAAAATAAAAAAAATAAAGTCCATCTCTCCTCTCACACTTGCCATACAATCCAAATTAATAATCTCAGATCCCTGCTGCAGTATTTCAGACCCTATCCCTAATACTGAGTCAGGCTAAATATTTCCCCTTCGGGTGCATTAAATGGTCAGATAAACACTCACAATCTCTTATTGCATGGTACTTCAGAGATATGCATCATATATATCTTTACATAAAAACAATGAAACAACGGGAACCTGGCTGGCTAAGTCCATAGAGCATACAACTCTTGATCTTAATCTCAGGGTTGTGAGTTTGAGCCATACGTTGGGTGTAGAGATGACTTAAAAAATAAAATCTTTAAAAAATAATAATGAAAGAAAACGGTCCAAATATTAACGCCAATTTATAAAAGAAAATGTTAGTAAAAGATATTAGTAAAAAACAATTTTAGCGAAGGAAAAGAATGATCCCGGCTACCCGTGGCTCCCGCACGCGCCTCCCTCCCTCCTCAGCCTCTGGGCAGGTGTTGAGCAAGACCCTCTGCTGGCATCAAGCAACCAGGATCATGAAAATCCCTTTTCCAGTGAAATAATCCCTCATCCAAGGGAAATGGAATCTGAAATGAAGACCCAGGCACCCAGGAGAACGTTGCTTCTATGGAATGTTCTAATGCTGAGGGCATCTGCTGTGAGACCAACAAGTCCGATACATGTTTCTGCCTTTTTTCTAGAATAGGAAGGAACAGGCAGATTGGAAAGTGACAGCGACATTAGAAGCATCTTCGTGGGACGTCGAGCACTTTACTTAGTGAGATGGTGGATTACAAGAGAGGAGCTCTCCAGAATAGCTGTTACCTGGGATAGAGAATGTTACAGAACTTCCCAGAGCTCTTTAGCATTCACAGCTGGAACCAGCTTTCGGGAGGACAGTGATCACAACATACCTGAGAGGATTTCAGGGTATAGTAAAGGGAAACAGTCAGATGAAGTGCTTTTAGCAGTAGTCAATGAGAGAAAATTTGGTGTTTTACAAACCAAATGACCTAGGATTGCAATCTGGCTCTCTCGAGTAGTTATGCAGACTGACGCAAGGGAGTATCTCCGACTGTGTTATTTCTCATCTGTAAAATGGGGATTCTAAAAGTACCTACCTCATTAACCTCCCCTCGCCTGAAAAGGCTTTCCTGACCATGGGTGCTCACCCTCCCCGTACACTAGGATTCAATTACCCCCCTCATTTTTTCTTTTCCAGGATCCCTTTACACTAGTTCTGTTGTCGCTCGAATCAAGGAGCTCTGTAATGATTGGCCAGCATGTTTGTAAGCAAGTCAAAGGCTGGGAGCCAGCCTGAAACACACTTATTCCCCCTGAGTCAGCCCAGTGCCTGGAACTTGGTGTCCAGGAAGGATTCAAAATATATTGTTTGAGTGTAAGAGTATGACGGAAGCTCCACGGATCAAAGGCCAGTGATTATTGTAACTCTTAATTGTTTATTAGTGATATAAAATGAAAGATGAGTGAACAGAGGCATCTCCATATATCTTTTCACTGTATCTGTATCTGTATCTGTAAGAAAAACAACTGGTATCAACTACCCAAGCGAATAGACGATCAGTACAGATTTTGTAATTCTGAATGAAGAAGGGACTGAATTACTACATTAGTTTTCAGAAAGTTACAGTCCCCAGACCAGCACCAGAGGAAGGAAGTTACACGTGGCCTTCCAATAATAGAAACAAGAAATAAACCAATTAAATGGTCTGGTGGAGAAAAGGAGAGTTATAAAAGGGCCTAAAAATAGTTTCCATCTTATCCCTGCTGTAATAATAGCAGATTAGCATGCATTCTCTTGGAAATGTCACCTAGGCAACCAGAAATACAAAGACAGAGATGTTCAGAAAAATATATGTATATAAATCTATTTTTGCCACCTCTGAACATAAGTGATCACTATTGCAAGAAGGACAATAACTAGACTATATATAGAAAGAGAAAAAAGGTAAGTACAGAAGAAAGTCGCGTAAGTAGGTATCCAGTAGGCTAATAAGATATAAAGGTAGGTCGCTATACAAGAAGCCCTAATCCATTGCCTCAACTTTGGGCCAAATATCTACTAGGAATACTAGACGTATTTTTCCTACATTTTTTAAATCTCATGTTTTGATCTCATAAACCCAAGGCAGACTAATACAAAAGAGGGTAGGCTGACAAATTTTAAAACAACACTTGGAAAACTATCTTATGCTCCACTTAACTAGAGTGACTCTATGTCCCTGTTTGCCTAAGACAGTCCCTGTTTGTGCCTCTTGTGTTGGTGTAATTATTAAAAAGTACTCCTCTTTCACTTTCAAAAGTATCCCAGTGTGAACAATAAATTATACGGTCCCCTTATATTTCACCAAGACATATTTCTTGACCAAATAACAACATGCTAGCAACTACTTGAGAACTTAGATTAGTTCCAAAATATTTTATAAGACAGAATCCCTGACTTCCAGAACACTACAATCTGAGATGGCAGAAATAAGACCCAAAACATTAATGAAGCAGTGAAAAATTGATAATCGTTCATGGAGTCCAGGCCGTTAAGTGCCGCAGTTCAGATGGGAGACCAAGTAGACAGTGGATGCCCTTGAGTGAGATACTCCATAGAAATTGTGGGAAAAGCAACCATGCTTCTTGAGCACTTCCTGTACACCAGGCACTGTGCTAGGCATGATGCCCATATGATCTCACGCCAGGCTCAAAACAACCCTAGAAGTGAACTGTCGGGCGCCTGGGTGGCTCAGTTGGTTAAGCAACTGCCTTCGGCTCAGGTCATGATCCTGGAGTCCCGGGATCGAGTCCCGCATCGGGCTCCCTGCTCGGCAGGGAGTCTGCTTCTCCCTCTGACCCTCCTGACCCTCCCCCCTCTCATGTGCTCTCTCTCTCAGTCTCTCCCTCTGAAATAAATAAATAAAATCTTTAAAAAAAAAAAAAAGAAATTGTGGTAAAAGCAACCATGCTTCTTGAGCACTTCCTGTACACCAGGCACTGTGCTAGGCATGATGCCCATATGATCTCACGCCAGGCTCAAAACAACCCTAGAAGTGAACTGTTGGGCGCCTGGGTGGCTCAGTTGGTTAAGCGACTGCCTTCGGCTCAGGTCATGATCCTGGAGTCCCTGGATCGAGTCCCGCATCGGGCTCCCTGCTCGGCGGGGAGTCTGCTTCTCCCTCTGACCCTCCCCGCTCTCATGTGCTCTCTCCCATTCTCTCTCTCAAATAAATAAATAAAATCTTAAAAAAAAAAAAAAAAAGACGCGAACTGTCATTATGCTCATTTTCTATGACTCGTCCAAGTGGCGAGTCTTCTCTGGTAAGAGAATGCAAATGCCTGACTCCAAAGCGTATGCTCCCCGCCCCTGTGGATGTGTGTGAGCTGCTTCCTGTTGGCCCAGGCTGACCCGGGTTTGGCGCAGCACTTAGGAGAGCCATCAGCTTCTCTTGCTGTTCTCTAGCAGCGCAAGGTGTGGTCCAACCCTGGCAGAGGGCGGCTCAATCAGCCAGGGCCCAGGCAGGAAACAGGGGGTGCTTTTCCATCCTACTGAGGAGTCCTCCTGTTGGAGAGGTACTGAGAAAAGAGTAAGGAAGGGTTAAGAAAAGCAATGAAGGCTGGCAACAGCAGGAAGCCAGGACCCTCCCCAGGCCTCAGGGTGTGATGTGGGGGTTGATGGGGGCGTAAAGGAACTCCAAAGAAGGTGGCTGGATGGAGAAGGTGCCTGGCAGGAGCTGTGGCCTTCAGCACACAGATGAAACCAACCTGCAGCATGCAACCCAGCAGGAGGGAATGGGGAAATAAACAGCCTCCCCCACTCTCCTCCCACTCTCCCAGGGACAGGCTGGACCCCCCACCGGCCAAATTCTACCAGAAATCAAAGACAAAGATGGCCCCTGATGCCTCTCGGGGCACAGAGCAGGTGGATGAGGGAGGAAAGAGGACACAGAAGAGCCAACAAGAGGTGTCCAGCCTGCTTGCCATGTCCTTGCCCCTGCATAAGAGTGTGCTCCCATTGAGGCAGAGTAAACTGGCCCGGTCACTCTTTGCAGGGCCATGGAAGGTGCTACATCAGCAAGATGATGTCATCCTCAGCCTAGGTGTGAGGCCAGAGCCAGTTCACCAGCAGGTGCCCCTCGTAGTTACACTCGGCCCCGTGCTTGAAAGGGCCCCACGCTTGGTCTAATGCTCTGCGGACACCATTTTGAAATTCTTGACAATTTTCGAACAAGGGCCCACATTTTTTCAATTTGTACTGGGCCTCACAAATTAAGTAGCTGGTCTTGGGCAAGGCGAACCATTTTCCTCAGCTGGTGAGACTAAATTCTGTTAAGTATCACAAGATTCCAAGTATACTATTCAAAGCAAACAGACCCAAAGTTAATATTAACCAGAGTCACAATGATACAGCAGAATATATAGCATAAAAAAGTGAGGGAACAGTTTACCTTTTTTTTTCTTTCCTCTTTCTCTTTTGAAGTCAAACTGCAAAGTGGCTGAGAAACCAAAATCAGCTGCCCCCTGGAGAGAAACGGAACTTAATTACAACGGCCTCTCCACAGCACAGAGGGAATGGATTTTGGCTCTTACCCAGTTAATGTGATCAGTGCAGACAACCAAGCAGAATAATTTATGCCCTGGGTGGACTCTGTTGATGTCCCCCATTTGATGGGATGTGGTCTTCAAATTAGCCAGGTAATTGCCAGAGCTACCCCTGACCTTGCCTTGTGTGCCCAGCGTACATAGGCCCCAGTTTGGGACAAGGTATTGAAAACACATGCGTAGACGGCTCATTGATGGGCCAGCCACACTTACAAACCATATTTCTAAGCTGATGCTTTCCCAAAGCCTAGAAACTATACTGCTGCTCTCTCCCTTTCCTGAGAGACCCCAACATCCTTAGCCTTCGTCTGAGTAATTACCATTGTGAAAGCATCTGGGAAAGTCCAGGTGAGAAGCCAGAACACGGCCAATGTCTGTTTCCTCCAAGGCCACGGGGCAAAGCAAAGCACAGAAAACTTCCATCCGAGGCAGGGATCAAACTGGGTTTTTTTTTAAAAGATTTTATTTATTTGACAGAGAGAGACACAGCGAGAGAGGAAACACAAGCAGGGAGAGTGGGAGAGGGAGAAGCAGGCTTCCCGCTGAGCAGGGAGCCCGATGCGGGGCTCGATCCCAGGACCCTGGGCTCATGACCCGAGCTGAAGGCAGACGCTTAACGACTGAGCCACCCAGGTGCCCTCAAACTGGTTTTTGATAGCCTCTTTCACTCACCCCTCCATGTCAGAAATAAGGGATGGTAGATTTTAAGTGTTTTGTTTGTTTTGTTGTTTAAAGTTAGAATAACATTTCAGTAGATCAAATCAAAAGGGTTTACCAAACCTCGACTGTGTCAAGGAGCCTAGAATCCAGGTGGTACATCAAATCTAGGGGCATCATGACAGAATCAGAAGATCAAGGGTTGCAGTGTACCCTCATGAGCCCTGCAGTGGGGTGAATGGTGGCCCCCCAAAAGACATGTCCACCGCCTAACTCTGGGAACAGGTGAATGGGATCTTATTTGGAAAAAGGATCTTTGCAGAGGTCATTAAGGATCTCAAAGTAAAATAACCCTGGATTACCCAGGTGAACCCTAAAGCAAATGCTAACTGTCCTTATAAAAGACACCTGGAGATAGGAGGCCACGTGATCACGGAAGCCGAGATGGGTGTGATGTAGCCTCAAGACCCAAAATGCCAATAGCCACCAGCCGCCGGACTGGACAAGCAAAAATTCTCCCGCGAAGCCTCTGGAGGCTTGGCCGTGCTCATACCTTGGTTCTGGACTTCTAGCCTCCAGAACAGTGAGAACATACATTTCTGCCCAGTTTGTGGTAAGTTGTTACAGAGGCCACAGGAAACTAACATAAGCCCTCAGCCACATCGTTCACCCCTGGCCTCAGCTTCACAACCTCCAGGCATGGAAAATATGAGGCCTTCCAATGCAGCCCACTCTGCACCAGGGGCCGACTTCTGACCCCAGAATAGATCTTTTCTCTGATGCAATGCTTCGTGTATTTGTAGACCACAATAATTGGGTTCCCACAGAGCTTTTTCTGGCTAGAGAGCCCTTCAGTCATGCCTTGGGGGAGGTGGGCTCCCCCTCACAAGACACTGCTTTCTGCATTCATTCCCTCCTGCCAAAATAGCACAGAGAGAAATACCTTCTCCCTTGTTCTGGACACTCTTCTTCTAACATCGCCCAAGGTCTCATTCATGTTTAAGCAGCCAAGTTACATTGTCAACTCCTTTGGAGCTTTCAACTAAAAGCAAAACAAAACAAACTTATATCTTTCTCACATGTGTTTCAAAGATATACTGTCACCCCCACCAATTACAGAGAAAAGATTTTTTTTGATCTAAATATAATCATTCAGCTATGAAACATACATATGAAATACACGTCATTTGGCGGGGGTGGGGGGGAGGAAATTCTGCACAGTAACTTACTCTACATTTTGACAGCCAGGCGAAGTTGGTACAAATCAGATTATTCCCAAAGAATCAAAACACACAGGTTTGGGGAAAATCTAACGTTCCAGATCCGACTGGATGTACAGTGGAAATGTTCCTGGCTGGGTTTGAATCCCAGCCCCACAACTTATTAGTGTTGATGCTTTAGTTCCTTCGCCTGTGAAAGAAGAATTATCAGAGTGCCCCCTCCTCCTGCTGGATCCTCTCTGCTTTCCTCTCCACATCCAGCCCCCTCCCTTCCCCACTCCACTCTCAGCCCTGGGAGGCTGATTTCTACATACAGGCGAGCCCTTACATCAACAAGTTTTCTTGCCCTCTGGTTAGGTGGGCCAATCGGGAGGCACCAGTAGAGAACAGAGAAGGCAGAAAAAAGTGGTTAGGGACTCACTCACCTGGATGCCTCCGTGCCAGGCCACAGTTTGGCGGAAGCTGCATTCCTCCACTAAAGAGCAATTCCAGAAACTGCTCTCTCACATCACCCTCACAGGGCTGGGCTAGTAAAGCCTTAACATGCATTGCTGGCCACTCTTGGCGATTTCCCTTAACGCTGCCCACGTCTTTGTAAATAGTCCCCTCACCAAACTTTCTTCAGTTAGATTCTAGGAGTGTGTCATCTGCCTCCTTGTGGGACCCTGGCTGATAAACCCTCTAAAGGACTTCTCAGAATCAATTAACGTTAGAACACTGCTGTGTTCACAGAAAGTGCATCAAGGCATTTGCCATCATTGCTGTTATTATTACCAACAGCAGTCAACTTGTCCGTGCCATCCTTGGTCAGGAGAGAGCTCGGCGCCACATTTACCTTTCCTCCCCAAGTCCAATGCCATTTAGCGTGGCAATAAATGTGATATCCTCGGTTGTATCCATGTGGAGAAAGCCATTAGGTTCTCTTTCATCTGAATAATTAAAACAGCCCCCGAACTCCTCTGTTGGCTTTCTTCTCTCCACTGTCTCCCTAGTGCAGGGCAGTGATCACACCAGAGCCACAGGGCATCAAATACTCAACTGCTCCTCTGAGTGAAATTCAGGCTCTACCACTGTCCCTCACAATTCGATCCCAATCCACTTTTGAGACTATATTAAACATTTCACACCCACCGGGATGGCTATTACATTAAAAAACAAAAAAGCAACCCTGAAAATAGTTAGTGTTGGCAAGGATGTGAAGGAATTGGAGCCCATGTGCCTTGCTGATGGGCATGGGAAATGGTAGCCGCTGTAGAAAACAGTACAGCAGTTTCTCGAAAAATTAAACAAACTTACCATATGATCCAGCAATTTCACTTCTGGGCATATACCCAAAAGAACTGAAAGCAGGGATTTGAACAGATATGTGTACGTCAATGTTCACAACAGCATTATTCACAATAGCCAAAAGGGGGAAGCAACTCAAGTGCCCACTGACAAATGAATGGATAAACAAAACGTGGTGTATACATACAATGGACTATTATTCGGTTTTAAAAAGGAAGGGACTTTGGACACACACTACAACATGGGTGAGTCGTGAAGACAATATGCTAAGTGAAATAAACCAGTCACAAAATGACAAATATTGTATGATTCCCCTTAACACAAGGTACCTAGAGTAGTCAAAGTCCTACAGACAGAAAGTAGAATGAATGGTGGTTGCCGGGGGCTGGGGAGCGGGGGAAGGAGAGTTTTTGTATACTGGGTCTAGAGTTTCCGTTTGGAAAGATGAAAACGTTCTGGAGACCGTCGGTGGTGAGAGTGGCACAACAATGTGAATGTCCTCCAAGCGACAGAACTTGACACTTAAAAATGGCTCATATGGTAAATGTGTTATTTGTATTTAGCCACAATAAGAAAAAATAGCATATTCAAGAAGCACTTATTGCTTGCCTATCCCACAAAGCACTGTAGTGGGGATGTGTCAAGAAACAAACTGGGAGGTCACTGTCCCTGTCGAGGGGGCTCTGCTCCGGCACCTCCCCCCACACAGTCCTCATTCCAGTCAACCTGTCCTCCAATTATGTCTTGCACTTTCTCATGGAATATAAATTTCTTAAAGGTAGGGGACTAGATCTTATTCATCTTATATCACTACTTATATCACTAGATATACTTATATCACTAGAACTTAACACATGTTGAAATGTGGAAACTGCTAAAAAAAATATTGGTTGAAAATGTGAGTAAAAATCCAGCCAAAGAAGTCTACGTCTTGGGCACCTGGGTGGCTCAGTTGGTTAAGCGACTGCCTTCGGCTCAGGTCATGATCCTGGAGTCCCTGGATCGAGTCCCGCATCAGGCTCCCTGCTCAACGAGGAGCCTGCTTCTCCCTCTAACCCTCCCCCCTCTCATGTACTCTCTCTCTCTCTCTCATTCTCGCTCTCTCAAATAAATAAATGAATCTTTAAAAAAAAAAAAAAAGAAGTCTACGTCTTTCTTTTCCTCATCTCCTTTAGCCAGCCAATACTTAGCACTTCTTGAAGTTAGTTAGCTATATTCTCAGATATAAGAGATTGGAGCTTTTTACTAAGCTCACTTTAAATTGTTCTGTTCACAGGGCACCCGGCCGGCTCAGTTGGCAGAGCATGAGACTCATAATCTCAGGGTCAAGAGTTCAAGCCCCATGTTGGGCATGGAGCCTACTTAAAAAAAATTGTTCTATTCACAAATAATTCTACTAAGCATATAAATTGTGGGTTTCAAATTAGAACTCCACTGTTTACTAGCCATGTGTCCTTGGGCAAGTTATGGAGTGTCCCTGAACCTGTTTCCCTCCTCTATGAAGGGGGAATGCTAGCAGTACTATGGTGGACATCTGTTCCTTTTCAATCCATCATCCATTGGCCCATCTCGTGGTGGCAGTATAACAATGTTCTCCAACAACATTCTCCTGGAGAACTGCCCTGCTACCTGCCCCTTAGCCTATGGCTCAGGGACAAAACCTGATCAAGCCCAAGCTCTACTAATGTGTGGCACTGCAGCCACAGGAAGAGGAGCTGGACCCAATCAAAGCCAATAAAGCCACAGCATTGCAAGTAATGCTGGGATAGAGTCTCTCCCTTTCTGGCTGCATTTAAGCCCACAATGAAATGGAACCTAAAAATGATGCCAACTTCAAGAAAGCAAACCAAGAAATATGGAGAGAGAAATCAGGCCCTGGTAATGATGCTTAAGCCCTGGATCAAGCCATACCTGATGTATCTTCCCCTGGACTGAAGAGTTATAAAAGCCAAAATAATGTTCCTTTTTTTTTTTTTAATTTATTAGAGAGAGAGAGAATGAGCGAGAAAGAGAGAGAGAACACAAGAGGGGGGAGGGTCAGAGGGAGAGGCAGACTCCCTGCTGAGCAGGGAGCCCGATGCGGGACTCAATCCAGGGACTCCAGGACCATGACCTGAGCCGAAGGCAGTTGCTTAACCAACTGAGCCACCCAGGCGCCCGCCTTTTTTTTTTTTTTTTTTTACTTAAAGTTATTTTACACCTGCAACAGAATTGAGTCTTAAATATAATAAGTATCTCCTGAAAAAATTATTACAAAGTTTAAATGGGATCCTTATGTACGTACATAGTACACACTGGATAAATGGAAGCTACTAATGTTAACGGTGGTGATAGCGTATGGTAGTGGTAGAAATTTCCTGGCTTCTTCTAAGGTTGACTTTTAACTCATGTGTTCTGTCCCTGATTTCTGCCTTCATTATCCTTCAATGATACTCTCTTTCATGGTGATAAAGATAGAAGGATGGTAAGAACAAAAATTGTAGGCCACCACTTTCTAATCCCATGCCCTGACAGACATCACTAATCGACCACAGAACTCATGCAGCCACTACCAATCAATCAAAGATGACAAGAAAAATGAAACCAATGGTCTCAGCTCCAGAATAGCAGTTGGCAATATTTTTCTATAAAGAACTAGGTAGTAAGTATCTTAGCCATGGTCTCCATTACATATTCTTCTTTGTATTTTAATTTGTTTTGTTTACAACCCTTAAAAAATGTAAAAAGCATTTGTGATTCCTCAGCTGTACAAAACTCCCTGCTCTGGAGGCTTGAAAGCAGACGCTGAGATGGTCCCAGAGAACTGGGCACCATCTTAGCTTCCTCTGCCAGGCTCCTGAGAGCGCAGTAATGGAATGTTTGGAAACACTGCCTCAGACAGAAATGTACCTACAGAACATACTGAATTGCCTGAAATGTAACAGAGGAGCTTTGATGGTGGCATAGTTCCTCCTCTTCACACCAATCCCAGGACAAGCTGAAATCCACGCTCCAGGGGAAGCCACAATCCAAGGAAGATCTACAGAGCCCCTGCGTGTGATAACATTGACCTCTGCCTTCAGGACCAAATTCACTGCACAGCCACTTCAAAGAGCTGGACCTCCACCCCTCACAGCCAAATGTGAGATGCCCCACCTTTTCATGAGGGAAGGAAGGGAAGAGTTCAAATCACTCCATTTCCCCATTATTAGTCTGACCCTTTACAATTAAAAACAAAAACCTCTGAAATGGTTCCAAGATAGTATGCCACATTGCTTTTGACCAACTTCTGATTGATTCCTTAATATCTCCCAAAGTTTTTTATTGTATAGTATTACACTAAAGATTGGTTTGGTCTTTCCATCATTCTGCATGTTTGTTTCTGGCTTTAGTGAAAAGGACTGAACTTTGCTTGACGTTCATTTATTAATTCAAAAAAATTTACTGACACAATCCATCTCTCAAGGCACTTGCATGTGAGGAAGACTGAGACATAGATGACGATGGAGGGCGCTGGGAGGGGTATGCAGGGTGGGGGGGTAGGTAATAGGGTTACAGGAAGCAAGCACAGCTCAATTCGCAGGGGTGGGGGGGGCTGCCAAGAGGTCTGCTGCAGATGAATAGGGAAAAAATCACAGGAGTTACCCAGACGAGGAAGGGTGGGAGGAGCTGAAGCTATACAGGGAGAGGCTGGGGAGATGAGGTTGGGGAGGAAACGAGGGTGAGGTCATGAAATTCCTTGGAGTCCGAATTCTATCCTGAAAGCCACGGAAAACCTCTGAAGGAAATGAAGCAGCGTGACTGG